TAGTAGACATGCTCTTGACTATGACAAAATGGCAGGTCAAAGGACATGCCATGATGATCGCGGTATTTCTTGGGTAGGGCCCGCCAGACCTTGTCTCCTAACTAGTCGGAACCTTTTTCCTGCATTCCGAGAATGCACATTGGCAAAAACTGTGCGTCCTTTTCATTTTTTGTGCATATAAGACGCAAACCTGTGTGTTAACAGGAACTCTGCTCCTTTCAAGGACTTTCAGAAGGAGTGGCTTAATTAATTATCATAGAGAGGTCAGACATGGGGCTTGATTAAAATCAACAAGAGCCAAAATGAAAGTCATTCTTTTTCCCCAGAACTGTTGCCCTGCTTTAAAAGGTACATACCAATAGTACAGCATTCATTTCTTCCATTCCAAAAACTGCTCTCAGTGATATTACACAGAAGCATATAATTATATATATATATATAGGCTTTCAAATTCCCCCTGGTATTTAATATCTAATAAATCTTGAGGTTTCTTAGAAATTTTTTCCTACTTAGATAAAAGGTTACATGTGTATATATATATATACAACTGATAAAAAGTTACAAAACTGGATCACAAGAAATGGGGCCCACCTTTAGGCTCCTAAACCTTGCAGTATTCTGCTGCAGTGTCTCAATAAAGAATGTGAACAAGCCATCCATGTGAGAGTGTAACTCCTGTGTAATCTGTTTCTTTCTATTGGCATGCAGATTGCTATCCATTGAGATTACATCTTCTGCAAGTCGCAGAAGAACCATCAGCACCATCTCTGTTTGCACGTTCTGAAGGTTAATTTAAGTTAAAAAAGTTAAAAGCAGTCAGCTGATAGTGATCTGATAGGGAATGCTATAGGGAATGCCAGACTATGCTATCAGATGCCATGAGTGTCATTAGTGTGTTGGCAGACAGACACAGTCATTGGCTAACACTTTGGTTGATCCTACCAATGAGTTGGTAGTGTGTCAGCTGATGCATTGGCAGTACATTCATTTGGTGATTTGTCAGCCGATAGGTTGGCTGACGCGTTGGCCAATGCATTTGTGGGATCAGATTCTTTTCCTTTATGGAAAATTTTGCAAATTCCTTGCATATTCTTTGGATAGCTATGGAAGATCAGAGCTGCCACAATAGAATAAAGTCTGATACTCCCATTTTCACTATCTCATCACGTCAAAAGAGTGAAGTCAAGCTTGTGCCTTACCCCCATAGTACAGATGTTGTTCAGATCTGGAAGCAGTGATCCCCATTTCTGTGGCCACTCCCTTTTGGTTATCTCCACCACAAGCCGTGCTAATGCTTCCTTGATGTGGAATGGTTCATCTGGCAGGGAGCCACTTCCCTGATTCAAAACATACAAACATGAGTGGAAACTTCCTGAAAATATTTATCATTTAATGACAATAAAATGTAGACTTTGCATGTGAATTGTACCCGGGCTTAGTCTGATTTATTAATTTGAGGTGCCACTTATAACCACATCAAAGTCAGTTATTTTCAGAATTTCAAAGTACTTCTTAATTTATTACCTAGGATTGGGCAGTAAGGATCCTATGATATAATTTTAAGTCTTAGAGTTTAAACCTTAAAGCTCTCAAATGGGATTGATGTTTCTTCTTTCTGGCTCCCAAACATTTTGCTTCAAATAAATTCAGTAAATTTGGTGCTACATAGAGATAAAAGCCTTCAATTGATGAGTGTAAGAAATCTAATGAAAGCAAGAACATCTCATCATCTATTGAAAGTTTTTGCAATTGCAGGTTGCATAGAGCCCAAGAAAAGAGAGAAGTCACTTCTTCAATTCAACAGTAAAATCTGTTTTTATAAACTTAAGATACATGTATCGCCCCTAAATGGACAATAACAGCAGATATTACTTCTCAATCTACCTGTGCAAGCAAGTGAAGAGAGATCCCCTTCAATCTTGCTTGTTCATCTGCATTCATTGAATTCCAGTTGAATCTGTCAGAAAAAAAAAAAATAAATAAATAACTTGAAAACCCAAGTTGTAGCTGTGGCAGTGGTGCCAAAGGGACCTTCAGATGTTTGCAATGGTTGCTAGCACTAGATCCAAATAGAAAATTTCAAAAATTAGGGATTTAAACCAGTACCTGTACAGGCTGAACTATTGTCCTGAACTCCAACCCTATTCGTTCTATCTTCCCCATCCCCTCCCAATTCTGAACTTATCAAATAAATGAATGCCTAAAATACAAAACCACATTCTTAACCTTAACAAGCATCCTCTTAAACAAGCAGGAAGCTCATTTTGGATAACGAGAATCCTTCAGCTTGACTACAGAAAATTCTTTGGCTAAATTGTTATGGCCTGAACCATTCCCTTTTTCTTTTCTTTTTTTAATTTAGGTGCCATTGTGTAATACACTCTATATTTATAAGTTACGCTTTAGCTGGTCAATATCTAAATGAAGACCCTAGAGAAGAGATGACATTGCTTATAATTGACCACACAACTTTGTTACAAATGGTCCTATTGTCTCTAAAATAATATTCAGAATCAGCTTTACTTGACTGCATGTTCCAAAAGTTGAAGTCCAGTGTGCCGCACCATAGCAGAATTTTGACGACCAAACAATAGCACACCAACAGAAACACACAGTGGTGAGCTGGCTTTGAACTGTTCAATGAACTGAATGATGAAAACAAAACAAACAATAAATTTTAAGTACAAATAAGCTGAATGAAATGTGCATTGAGTACATACCATTAACCTAATCGTCTTTTTATCCCTGTAACATGAACGCGCATTAAAGCATAGCTTGCACTAATGAAGCAAACAGTCTGACTAGGAATGCAGCAGAGATTACAAATTTTGATTTCCCTTTGAGGTCACTTTGACTCCTTGTCCACAAATTTTGGAGTCATTTTCGAAAATGTGAGCACGTGTAGTGAAGGCATTTTATACCACTATTATACGAAGTATTACTTAGAGAAGATCGATTAAAAGACCACTAACCAAATCATTCGTAATCAATAATGGTGGCTGATCAACGTGCCGTGCATCAGACACTAATGAGCTATGGACGAAGTTTGTTTCACAAAGGAATGTTGCAGGAATGCCAGTAGCTTCCATTTTTATTGTTTTATAATGATTACAGATGTAACAATTTTTAAGATTTTAAAGAAAATATAATTCTGCTGAACATTTCTGAATTCTTGTCTGAAGTCAAAGTGACTTCCCAATGGAATTTTTTAGAGTCACTAAATGAATTTTGGGGGTAAAATACGCCAAATTTGGCATATTTGTAATCCCTAACACATTATCATATCACCCATCTGGTCATGCTCATGCAATCCTATAGAAAACCATAGTGAAATTTGATGTTTGTTGGGCCAGACAGGTTGACGAGCCATTTGGTCCTAGTGCATTTGTACAGCAACAATGTTCACTGTTGTTACCACAAAAAGAGTGACAGCAGTGAAAAAAAATGGAAATAAGTCACCTTTTCAATGAATCGTGCATTTCTTTTTCTAACTAGAAAGAAATAATGGAATAGTTTTTAATTGCACAATCCTTTTTGTGGTTTGCCTGAGCACGCCAGTCTATTGCCTCCTATTTAAGTTGGAAAAAATATTTAAAACTGAGTCAGTGGTCATATGATAAAATACTTATTGACTGAGTTACGTCAGGCTGGATGGGAAAAACTTGGCTCTTGTTCATGATGCATGACCTGGCTGCCCTTGGTCTGTGCATCATGATCTTGATCCAAAGATTTTCCAGTCCAGCTCTCCCACTCAATCGATAAGTACGTAACATTTCTGCTAGTTTCACTAGAAGAATCATTAAGGGGCCAAAGTCACTCCCTTTTTTGTTTGTTTAAGGAGTTGCCACGTGCAAAGAGGAAGTTTGTTGAGTATTTTCACTTTCTATCCTTTTTTTTCAATTACGCCATCTGGTTTTTGTTTGACCTACTGTAAACAGTTTGAAAACCCCAACAGTAAAGATATAATAAAATTTTCATAACATTTTCTTGATGGATGGAAAAATTTTGGCTCATCCTCGGTGTAAAAACCAGTGAAGCTCATGAGTGACGTAAAACAAAGACAGCAAAACATTATAAACAATAGCATACAGCAAAACAATACCTCATGAAACAAAGAAAACCTTGTCAGGTTTTTACACTGAGGATGACCCAAAATTTTGGTTGTAGATTGAGCCTTGAGTTTAGAAATTTGAGGGTTTGAAGGTTTGAAGGTTAGCTTTGGGCAAAAATAAAAATTAATACAGTAGGACCATAGCCTACTAACAGCTAAGGTCTTACTGAAACACAGTAGGTTTGTGACATTTGATCCCGAATTTGGTCTAGTGGACTCCATAAAGAAATTTTTATTACAAAGAGCGCTACTTCTTACTTATTATGATCTTTGTATAAACATAGATAGATAAAAAGATAAATCGTTTATTGAAAAGAAACACCTCGCAGTCCGAAGACTGAATTACGTGTATAATATACAAGAAACAAAATTCATAGTTAAAATAGTTTGAAAATCTTAATAATAAAAATATACAAATCTAAATAAAAACGTTTCACTTAGGATAATCTTGTGTTAAGAAAATATACATACTTTAACATATATATTTACATCCTTAGGCTATGGCTAACAACAAACATACCAAGATAACAGGTGTTAAAACAGGAAAATGATTGCTACTCTACTTGAAAATAGTAGGTACGGCCTCAGCAGAAAGCAACTTAATTTACTTCAAGAACGAAACTGGAGCAAATCTCTATTCTCTCCTCTAGACTATTATTTTCGTTCTCTTGACAGATGAGTTTTAATATTTAAATACTACCTCATAAGCCTCTTTTCTTTCTTGTTGTGTGGTTGACGGACTAAGAGCCGCCTCAACAGCTTTTATTATCTGTAGAGCAACTTGCTGTTCGGCCGCCATCTTGCAGTCCGCAAGTTTTAAAAGAAAATGTGTTGTGTAATTTAAATATCGTGTCCTTCCAAATAAAGTCCGCTGATAGATACATGAACATAGGCGTCTCCATCAGCTGGTTCCTGTTTAACACTTTGCTGCAAATTATGCTCGCATAAAGATGGTTTCTAGTTTTTTAAGAAGGGAATAGTTATCATTTTTTTCCGTGGTAGGGTTTCATTTTTGGTGCAATATGTATCAAGATATAATTCATCCATTTCCAGGCTGAGTGTCATCTCGGCGGGCAATATTTCGAAGATCGAGTACGCGCGCGTGAAAAATCGCGCAGATGACGGATGTCTTTGATTGATGCAAGTCACATTTCAATTTTCGCCTAGAGATATCAAGTTTGATCGTTTCCTTCCGTCTTGATGATGGCGGACGAATCGTTCACTGATGGCAGAGCATCGGAAGAACCATACACAAGGGTACGGACCCTGGGACGTGGGGCGTTCGGCGAGGCAGTTTTGTATCGCAAAACAGAGGTAGGAAAATATAAAGTCAGTCTGTTTTTGCCACAACCAGCTGGCCTGCATCGATCTAGGCAAAGTGGCCAGACTCCATCCATTTTGCAAATTTTATTTCTCTCCGGTGGTCCTTCCTGTAGAAAACTGCTGAAAGGTATTTTAAGATGCTGGTGTTTTATCATCAAATATTTTCGGATGGTAGCAAATTTATTTGATTCTTCAGTCTTGGAGAGACCACCTGCCGAAATGATAGAAAAAAGTGGAAGTCGCTTTTGTTGATATTGGACTAGTTGCAATAATTGCTTTTGATTGAAGAAGAAGTTATTTCTTGATTAAAAAGTTTGCTTCTTAAGTATTAAAAGTGACTCTAGAGAACTAAAGTTTCTGATGTAAGAAATAATGGTAGAGTGAGCGCATACATGTTCTTAGTGGCTACATTTTGAAATATGGATAAATTTGAATTAAATGTGGGTGCCTTTAGCTGTTGCATCTTCTTGCGTTTACTAAAGTGATTAAGGTGGCTAAAATTCCGCTTTGGTTGCTAAAACTCCGCATTGGTTGCTAAAATTTCCGCATTTGTGGCATTAGAATTTCATTGTTATTGACTTTCTCTGAGGGATATTTTTTCAAGATTAGAGCAGATTTGAAATCAATAATTTTTAATAAAATTTTGATGGCTTAATTATTTAGCGGTCTATAATATTTTACCGTTGATTCTAAGGCATCAAGCTATCTTATTGTCTTTGCTGTATTAAGGGTGCAATTTTCAGCATTTAGTCAAGTTCAAATGTGGTAGTATAATCAAGTAGGCACTAAGAATAGCCTTCCTTAATCTGGCAATTTATTTAAATTTGGTTAAAAAAAAAAACAAACAAACAAATATTCTTCAGAGCAGCATGCAATCATCTTTAAGGAACAAAATCTCAGGAAATAGGGATTGACAAAGTTGGTGTTTGTAACATGGTGATACATCTGCTTATGATAACCCACAGTTGATGAGTTTTGAAAACAACATACTCATCAAAGAAATGTGAGAGATTTATTAATGAAAGCTGTACTTGAACTGTTTGATTTTATCATAAGCCGTTTAAGATGACTAATTGTGTCTGGGTTTAGATTATTGTTATTTGATACCCAAGAAAATGTCAACACAGGAGAGGTTAATACTCAAAGGATTACGCTGCATACTGATACAAGGAGTGGATTTATAGAGGTCACTACTGGGGCAATACTTCGAATTCTTTGACTTGTTGTTCTTACATGTGAACCAGGTGTATAAAGGGGTAGCGGCAAATTAATTTTAATGCTGGGAGAAACCCTGCGTTGGACTGGCATCCCATCCATTGGGGAGTAGAAATACTCCTAATCGCTTCATGCTATGGAAACCAGAGTTCAGCACAGGCCTAATGGGCCACTAGGCTCATAAACAGACTTTACCTCTTACATGTGAAGCAGAGCACGTCTTGTGTATCAACGCATCTATCTGTGGGGATCCTCAAAACCTGCCGCTCTTTGCTCCTGAATAGGCTGATAATCATATAGGATTCTGAATTGTTTATTTAAACAAGTATAAAAATGACATTTTTTACCTTTGGAGTCAAAGGGTTATTTTACAGCATGAAAGATAAAATAAGTTGGATTCCTTTTAACTTTGATAATCCAAGAATAGTTGAAATATCTGAAATATATGGGGATTGACTAAGGATGCACCAAGTACTGGGCACATGATCCATTCAAGTGTTTGATAACAGTATTTAGCTTACTGCAGACTATTTTAAAGCTCCTGATGGAGTGAGGGGCCCTTGAATACAGTGCTACAGCAACAGGTCGTATTAGTTCCTGTTTTTCCTATAGCGTTACAGCCAATCAGTATTGCTTTTAAAGCTTGGTCTTCTTCCAATCCATCAAACATTCTTTGGGTTTAACAGGTCTACATGTCATTCTCTGCTACTTCTTTCCCTGTTGGCTCCATCTTTCAGTCTTCTGCTCTAGATTTTGTCTTAATATTAATTTTATTAGCAACTATCCACCGGAAAAAAAACAAACAAAAACAAACAAAAACAAACAATCTGGTGTTTTGGATAGATAAGTAAATTTATCATTGTTCAGTACCTTTTTGTGGTTAATTGTTTTCTTATATGATTTCCTATTTAAGGACAATGTACTTGTTGTCGTAAAGGAAGTGAACTTGAGCCGGGCAACTGACAAGGAGAGAGTAGATGCAGAGAAAGAAGTGGAAATTCTGTCCTTGCTAAATCACACCAATATTGTAACATATTTTAATCATTATATCGATGGTACATCACTGCTCATCGAGATGGAATATTGTAATGGTGAGGAGATAAGATATAAAATATGAGATTTTATAACCCAAAAAAAAAAACAACAATTAATAGATAATCCCTTTTATTCAATCTAATTAATGTCGTGTTAGATATGAAATGGTCCTTCAGTAGCGTAACAATAAAGTTACTCAACAGGGTGTGACTTTGAACATGATCAATTACATACACAGTTACTCAGTGGGGTCAGCAGAATTCCTTGCGAAAATTGTTGGTAGTAATGGTGAGACCCCAACCAGGATTGTATAGGGGTTTGAGAAAGAATTAGCATCTGAAAATTTGGGTGGGATCCCATCTGGGACATTCCAAAATCCTGGTAATCTTAGGTGAGATTAGCAGAACCCCTATCTGGGATCTTATTTTATCTTCTTTTAAATTTCTTTATTCATTTTTATTTTCACTCATTTTTATTCCCAGGTGGAACTCTGAATGACAAGATATGTAGTCAAAAAGAATTATTTGCTGAAGAGGTACTATCGCTATGGTCAATTTTCTGGTGCTACAATTGTAGTTGATATTGTTGCAATTGGATATTTTTAATTTCAGATTGTGATCTGGTATTTCTTTCAAATTTGTTCTGGAATGAGTCATATTCATGACTGTGGTGTTGTTCACAGGTATGTGTCTGCATTGAGTGGTACAGTTCACCTTTTGATACTGAGTGATATTATTAGCCTCTCCAGAGATATTGTTATTAACTCTTCCCTCTGGCTGCTACACATTTCTTTGTAACTTGTGTAGTGTGTAGATGTTGTTACAAGAATTTGGTGTTAGATCAAGGTGACAACTCCAACCTGATAAGTTTCAGCATTCTCATTGAACGTACTGGTACCTGTTTTCTGGACAATATAGGGAGAAGTTGCAAGTTAATCACTTCCAGGATTGAAAGGGTTATTTGTTCTAAGATATTATGTTTTCATTGACTGAGTGGAAGGGACAGAAAAAGAAAGTATTTGGCTGGAGGTGTTACAAACAGAGGAGAGCGTCATGACTGAGAGCCAAATAATCCTTGTTGGGCCCTATGTTATTCAGTCAAGAAGCTTTTTATCATTTGACCTTCACATTTTCTTCTTTAAGCTTTCATCTTGCGGGGCCATATAGCTTTTTCAGGCCCTACATGGGTCATTGCATACAGCCATTGTGTTGAGATTTTTGTCCATTTTTTTTCGATAAAGGCAGGTGGAGTGAAGGGGGTGCACAGTATGTATCATATGATAAAATTATTTGTCGGTATGTAGTTTATTGGGGCATGATTATAATACATGTACAATGGCATTTACATTGTTAGAGATATCAAGACCTTGAACATCTTCCTGACTAAATCTGGACTAGTTAAACTTGGAGACTTTGGCATAGCAACTGTATTAAAAAGCTCTAAAGAATACATGGCAGAATCTGTAAGTGCATTCTACATTAGGAAAGGAGTGATTTCAAAGAAAGTCATTCTATGAATAATGCAATAGATCAGTATCTCTAGATGAGACACTAGTCATGAAGTTGCCAGTCAACTCTCAGCAGGCGGTCAGGTTTGTTGAGAATTCATGGTACTCAACTATGCTCTTGGGTGGAGAGGAATGCTCATGCCCCTGAACCATGTATGCTCTTGGGGGTACAGAGAGGAACTATGAGAGTAAAGTGTCTTTAAAGGCAAAGGACACAACTCATTGAACTGACTAGGGGCCCGTCTCTTGAAAGTCCCAGTAACTTAACGGGCACATAAAGCTGTTCTGTTTTCATTCAAGATGGGGATTTCAAAAGTTTTGAAAATGATACAATAAAACTATCAGCTAAAGAAACAAAAGGAATGGTTTAACCAGTTCAATTGCATAGGATTCTGGCACCCTCTTGGATGCCAGAACCTGCTTTCCTATACTTTAAATTTTGATTTTAAAACATGGCTTCGAGCCCGTTAAGTTACCGGGACTTTCAAAAAATGGGCCCCAGGTCTCCAACCTCAGGACCTCTCAGGGACTGTTTAAAACCCTTCAACCTCAAGGATAGACATCTGATTTCTCCTTACATGAAGGTCACAAGAATTGAGAGAATGATCACCAATTAAAGAAGCTCTTGACTGTGAAACAGATTTTCCTTGTCAGTATCTTAGGAAATGTAAGGAGAATATGCATGCAGATGTTAGGGCAGAGAGGGTCAACTGTTCGGTCAACAGTTTATCCACAGTTTCGTCAACAATGCTAAAAGATATACAACATGTCTCAAAATCTGCAACAAACATAGTGATTGCAAAAAAGCCTAATTTGCTCTGAACTGTGAAAAGGTTTATAATTATGCTTTATATTAGGTCAGACACTTTGGCCTTTAAACCAATCAATACTCAGACATTTGTAACAAATGCCACGGTTAGCCTTAACAATTACAGATCATTGAAGACTGCATTTTTTCTCATGATCTCAGAGCAATTTCTGATTCAAAGTTCGAGGGACACAGGATACTGAGCAAAAGTGGGAGACGGAAAAAATTGCAAGAATTAAAGTGTTGTATCATAGCTAAATGTATGTTTAAGATTGCAGTTTAACATTTTTTTTTTCATTTCATATGAATCCAAAATGTCACAATTTTTAGGTTGTTGGAACACCATATTACATGTCACCAGAGATCGTCCAGGGACAAAAGTATGTACCTGTTCTTGAATTTGCTTTAGTTCTAATACTTTGTGAAATTACAATGGGGAGCCATTATCTCCCTGGCTTTGTTCAAAGTGAAGGTAATGCACTGATTGATAAATTTAACATTTATGTGTAGGTATAACCAAAAGAGTGACATGTGGGCTTTGGGTTGTGTCTTGTATGAGATGCTCACTTTGAAAAAAGTGTTTGATGCAACTGTAAGTAATTATAATGATAATTGTTATAATTGTAATATTGATAATATTAATACCAATAATTAATGATGATAACAATAATAATGAATGAGTAATAATTAATATGTTATGCTGATAATAGGTTCATATAAGTTTATTTGCTGCTGCTCACACCTACTTGTAAAATTGTGACAGTTTGTCAACTGGAACTTGAACACTTGTGATACTAAAATAAATATTAATAATAAATACATTTAATTATACATGTATATGTTGTAGTTCAATTTTCTCCTTGGTTCAAATTTTATTTTCCTTTGTTCTCAGTCATGTTAATGTATGATAATGAGTTTGAAACAAACGAAAATTAAATTTGAACCAAGGATAAAATTGAACTACAGCATGTATAACAGAAATGACAAAACTGAGGGAATTGTGCCT